GTCTTTATAATCAGTGTGACCTTAGTGCACATCATACTGTTATTATGAATCTATCTCCAGAACTATACCGGGTGAGGCAAAAGCAGGTTTACATATGGAAGATATTACAATAATTAATAAATAATAATATAAGAATAAACTCTGTGTTTCACATACTCACACCTATAAGTCTCTTTGTCTTCACCCTGTATATATTTACTCTGCCTTCCCTTCCTTCCCTCTGTGTTAACTAATACCAGGCTTAGTAACAAACTCGAGTTCTCCCACTTGTCCTTGCTGTCATTCAATATAACTTCTTGGGTCTTAACCATCTTTTTGGTTTTTATTACTTATATAAGTTTTTCCTTCCCTTTTGTATTCTCCCAGCTGGCCTGCCTTCTTGGTCCATTCTATGTTTTGCATATTTTACTATGTTCCTTGTGCCACCCATTGGTCAGTATCAACCTCCCCATGTTCCATGGCTTAACATATAGGCTTTTGGGAGATAGAAGGAACAAGAAAGTCACAGAAAAGAATGAGAAAGTCATTTTAGATATAGGTGTGATTTTACAAAATTTGTACATTATTTTAAAAATAGGGTAAAACTAAACATTTGATTTTTGTCAATCATTGCCAATTAATATAGTATTACATTACTATATATATGTATATAGTATAATGTTTTGCTCCTGGGTAGTTTTTCCACAAGAAAAAGTGTATCGTTTGGCAAATACCACCTCAACATACAAATGAGTTCCTACTATGGAAAGGTGCTCTGCAGTGTGAAATTAAAGCATCAGGTACTTACACAGAACATATATGCAGCCTGTTTATTCCTTTTACAGCTTGATATACTGGAATATATTTATGTTAGGATATTGTTCATTAACCTATTTATATTACGAATTATCTCATCCTTAACAATAGAGTTGTGAGCAGACATCTGCTTGCCCAGGACGCAGCCTCCGTTTCTCAGCCTTTAGTGGTAGGTGTGGCCCTGAAGCTACATTCTAGTGCAGGAAATGTGAAAGAAGAAGAAATGTGCACCTTCTGTGGCCACCCTGCACCTTTCCTCTCCCCACTGACTTGATTTCAAATAACAGTTAGATAGAAGGGGTCTGGAACTCGGAAAACATGGGGCTTACACCTGGATCCAGAACTGCTTATGTGCAAGTATTATGTGTCTGTGAGAAACAGATGTTGCTTAAGCCACTTTTATGCTGGTTTTCTGCGCTGGCAGTCAAATCTGTAGTGTAAATGATAACATTCAGTTTCTTGTGAGAATGTGAGGTTTTTGCTCAAACGTGCAATGAGGTGTCTTCTCAAAGGTCAGATCATTTTTGCATTATCTTTTGGAGTTTATTTTTCTTTGTAATGTGAACTATTTTTTTATATGTGAGCAAATGAAAATATGTTCATACATTTATGTAACTATTATGGTTATTCAAAAATTTGGTAACTATTTAAATAGCCTCCAGAGAAGACTGAATTTTGGGCTCTCTTTAATTAGTAAACCACCATCAAGAACAAATACACGAGTTCTCTAAAAGAAGTCTAACCTCAAGTCTTTCCCTACATATTTTCCATCTTCACATTGCATTTGGTTTAAAGAGACCACTTCTTAGGCTGCCTTCCTCCTCCAGATTTCTTTGGAATTTGTGCCTGAGAATTGCTCTTAACCAGCTGCCTTACCCCAAAGATCCGCCCACGCCCTATAAGTGCTGGTCCTATGCCGCTCGACCTGGCTGGCTCAGTTCTAATGTCTGCTCATAATCTATTTGGTTTTTCTTTGATTTCAGTGGCTTCACTTTAATGACATATTTCATCGTATCTGGGGAAATTATTAGCTTAAAAGGTTAATATTTACATATACTACAAGTGCAGTCCCCTCCAGTTGAAACTCCTAATAAATACGTGTGGCTATCCTTGATGGCCAGAAATATCATTGGAAAACAACGAAAAATACATCATGCAGTACAATATATGCCTGCTAAAATTTATAGGTTTCAAGAAATAATAATTTATATGTAAAGTACAGTATCTCTGGAGTACTGTTTCAGTACATTCTGAGGATCCTTCTTATAAGCTCTTTGCTTTTGGTGTTTTCAAGTTTTAGAATCTTGATTATATCCTGACCCCCCCCCCCCAAAAAAATAAAAACAAAACCCAACCCAAAAAGCTTATGCTCATAAATTCAATGAAGGATTTGGTTCACTCATATGGCCATCAGATAAAGTTCTCTAACTAAAATTTTATTAGCTCATATTCTATTTCGCCTTTCCAAGCTTGAATCTTAAAACTGTCACCATAGCTGACAAACAGTTTAAGAGATACAGACAATTAGGCAAACTCTTTTCAGAATCTGGCACCTAATACTTTAGACATGAACATGTGGCTTGTGTTTCTCACCAAAAGACTTAGCTATGTTGTACTAGACACACTGGCATTAGGAATCAAGTAGTTAACTGAAACTCTTGTTGATATCTTGAACAGCTTCATAAATATTTGTTTCCACTTCATAAAAGTAGTAATAATCATAATAACTAGATAAAAGGTGTTTTGTGCCATGAAAAAATGCTTCAAGTACTTTATGTATCTAATATTATGTTGTTTTTGTACTTCTGTTAATTATATGCATTTTGCCCATAATTCTATGACCTTTTATAAAAATTATATAGGATAAAAAGTAAAAAAAAAAACACCCTGCTTGTACTGTTTTAATTCTATTATCTTAAAGTAACTTCTGTTAACAATTGTGTACTTATTTAGCTAGGATGTGGTGTATTCTTGTTGAGTCACATAAAGAAGTTTATACCCCTGTTTCTATCATTGTTTATCTCCATCTCGATCTCTATCTTTATCTGTTTCTGCATCCTCACATGTTGTCATGTAAGGTTGGGATATGCTATGCATATTGGTCTGCCACTGCCATTTCTCGGATGCACTATATCATGAGCATCATTCAGTTAGTGTATGAAGATCTCACTCCATCTTTTTAATGATTGCATAGGATTCCAAACTGCAGCATAGTGTATACACAAAATGTTATTAACTATAGCATATACATAGCATTCTAAACAATAATTAAACATTTATTATTGATTTTTCTTTTTTTGTCAGTAAAATACAATATAATTATGAACACTTCTGTATATATATTTTTATGAAATTGTTTTATTATTTCTTTTTAAAATTTCTTTTAAATTTTTTATTGTTCAGTTATTTATTTTGTTTCATTATTTCTTTTGGTAATGTTCTAATGTGGCTAATTGCCAATTTTAAGGTATTTTTAGCTCATAAGTATCAAATAGACCAAAATTCCTACACATTTTGATTTTAGAGGCTTCTCTTATAATCATACTTTTCCAGAGTAAATTCCAGACCTAAAATTTTGCATTAAATCTGTTTATTACAAGGCATCACAAATGAGTTGTCGAGTCAAAATAAATATTCTACCAGACAATGCCATAACACTTCAGAATGATGAAATGCTTAAAATAGAATATTTAAGTTAGAACTTGTAAATGAGATATAATTACAGCTCTCATAATGCAACTATGCTATAGTGACATGTCCAAGAGCAAATTCTTTCCACCGTTCTTAGTATTGATATAAATGTCCAAGTGGTGAGCATATGTTTCTGGAATGTTTAATGTTTCTGTCGGCAGTTGGGCAGGGTTTGTCTTATTTTAGGGAAGCTATGTCATAGGTCAGTTAATACTTTCTTATGTCATTATTGCATTCCCTCCAACAGATTTGATAGAATATATGGAAATTTCTGAAAAACTGACCTGAGCATTCCAATCTAAACAATTTTATGGAGCATTAGCATTTTAATACAGTTTATATAAAGACAGAAGAGTCTGCCAGAAGCATAGAATGCTCTGCTGGCATATAGTTTGAGCACATTGATCTTTGCTGTAAAGTCTTTGACTTCGCTTAAACTGACTTATGACATGTTACTGATCTAGTTTGTTAGTGAAACCACAGTTTATGGAAACCAGATTTCTTCACCACAAAGAGGGTTTGAGATTCTTAACCCTCCTTGTAGATAGCTCAGTTGAAAAGAAGTAAGAACATTAGTTTTGTGTTAGTATTGCAATTATGGATTAATATATTAAAAGAGGAGCATGGCTGTTACGCTACAGTGTCCAATCTGCATTGTTTTTTCAATGCCAATGGCCATATTTGATTTATGGAAGAAATGGTAATTCTATTTACCTCCGGATTATAGAGCACTACATTGTGGGAGGAGTTTTGGGAAAGTCTTCAGCACAAGACAAACTCTGGCCAAGGGTTCACTAGCTCAGGCGTGCTTCAGGCAGCTCTACTCTAACCTTAGCTTCTTCTACTTGGAAACTACTTGGGTGAGTGCAGCATCTCCAGGATTAGTCATGGGGCCTTGGCATAAAAAATTAATTTCAGTTATTGGCCCTTTTTGGTCAAGAGTTAAAGAAAAGTTAATATATCTATCAATAACAAATGTGTCAGGGTATCACTTAAAATAGTACCAGTATATTTTGAGAGACAGGGTGCTGTTGTCTTTACATCTATAAAGGGGTCATTTTAATATGTAATTTATATCACTTTTGTTATCATACAGTATGCTTTTCAAAGGGAAAAAGAAACAAGCCCAGATAAATGGTATTTAATTTAAAAAATACCTTGACTTTTTTTTTTCCCTAAAAATTGAGAACATTCTTCAGATGGGCTTTGAACATTGAGCTTTCTGGTGACTATTTAATTCCAGCTGCAGAAAGTGAAACCAATTGTGCCTTTAACACAGTCTCAAAATAGAATCTTCATAAACCATTGTAAATACTATTAGCGAAGTGGAAAGGTTATTATATCTCAATTTTTACATATTCTGATGGTTTACCCAAGAAGATACTCTTTGCATGATACAACTATGTTATAGGGCAAAAGAAACATCTACATATCTTTTAAAGGCTACAGAAATAATAAGTGATGGAAACAAGGATGTTTACAGAATTCCAAAAGCTGGATAATTTGTGTCTTACCTTTCTTTTGCGAAGCCTGACTTGATTATCTGTGGGCTCCTGGGTGGCCAGAGGTTCCTCTAAGTGTAAACACGGCATGCCATCTCCTGAGTTGACCTTTGGAAGACTTTTGTTTTGATGTTCTGAGAAACCGCTCTTCTGCAGGCCCCTTTCAGCTGACATTCCCCCGGGGCAGGAAGGAGGCTGCAGAAGGCAGCTTCTGGTATCTGCTTTTAATAATGGCAGTCCTCTGTCTGTACAAGGAAAAGTGAAAAACTCATCTTGTACTACACAGCAGGTGTTGCTTTCATGTTCCTCTTTTGGGAAGTCGGGTTTTCTTCGTTGCTGAGCAATCACAGCAGAATTAAGCAATTGCTTCTCAGGCACAATATCTTTCACATTCAAAGAATCGCATACGTGTATTTGGGAGGCATCCTTTATTTCACTTAAGCTTATATCATTACAAAGCTCCAGGCTTTTACTGATAATGTCAATAACTTTCCTCTCCTCTCTTTCTCCTACTAGCGCCACATCAGCTCCGCTAGCCATTCCCCAGGAGTTATAAGAATCTTGGTTTCTTTCCGTGATAGGCAGCATCTTTACTAAGGAGCCTGCTCCTTTGACGCTATGGTGGTCTGATGTTTCGTGCACTTGGGAAGTTAAACTGTGTTTATCATCTGTGAGATACAGATCAGAGTCGGTATCCTCATCAGAAACGTGCACCAGTGTTTCTGTGCTGGCTTCCAAGGAAAGAAACGGGTCTTCCCCTTCCTGGCTGTCATTTTCATCCGCCTCCTTTGAAATGTGACCCATTGGCCTCCCAGGAAAATCTCTCAGCTCTGATCCATGACAGCAATCTGGTAGTGAAACACACTTCTCTTTGCGGTCCGCATTTAGAGTTGCATCTTTTTCCATACTTGCCTGCAAGCTCTCAGCTACTAGTCCATGATGACATGCTGTGTTATGATCATCAGAACTAAAAGGCTGTCCCAGCCATTGGGTCACATGTTCTTCCCAGCTCCTCTTTCTGATAGCTGCAGACATGTCATTGTAGTTCAACAACAGGTAGAGAGAGATGTTCCATATGAGACAAAAGGAGGTGGAACTTGATGAAAGATTACTTCAGATTCACTGACTGAAGAGAGTGAGTTTTACCATTTCACCACCTATTAAAAATTAAAAATATATATGTAGTTCAGGACATGATTCAAAAGTAAAAATCTCTTAGAAACAAGAGTTCTTAATCCTTAATCTGTGCTAGAAAGGTGTAGAGTTTATAAAATTCCTGTTTAATAGCTTCACTAATGTTACTTCTTTAAGAAGCAGCCTAAAATTGAAGAAAATTTCACATTGAATAATTTTGATAAAAAAAAAATCATTGACAATGTTTTTAAATGCAGCTGGATTGATTGATCTATTAATGAATAAATCTATAACTATTCAACATTGAAAACTCCAGTAAGAAAATATTTGGATTGCAATACTTAATACAATTCACCAGAAGAAACTTGTTGCTCTAGCTTATATGCCCTCCTGATTTGCTTTCGTGAACATAAGTCTTTACAGAAATCTACTTGCTGTTTGGTTTGAATTTCAACAAAGGCCATCAGGGAAATGTTCATGCACAATTTGAGCTATAGAGACTGCACTTGTAATGTATTCGTGTGTGAAAGAGCTAATACAGATCACAAACTATCAGGATGTATTTACTCCAGGGAGTGACTAAGAAACATGAAATAATCCAGTTTAGCTCATGTTAACACATAATTCATGGATAAGAAAGTGTAACATACACCATTTACAATGCCTCAGGATAAATACATTTACTTGCATCCTATTACTAGCTAGCTAGCGAGTATTGTTGAAGCTTAGAGAAATGAAATAATTTGCTCAAAATTACACATGCATCTAGGAAGTAAGCCAGGATTCAAATTAGACCCTGGGTCTAAGGCCAGGCTTAGCAAACACAGGTCATTGTCTCCATGGAATGAGATCCTCCACTCCTTCCCTCCACACATCTTAGTGTGTATACAGTCTAAGCTCCTCAGGCAGGAATTTGGGGGAACCGAAAGGAAGATGTACGAATGATAAGACAATTGGGAGAGGTCTTCAGAAATTTCGGCCTCACTTCTTTGGCTTCTATGGAGTTCAGTTTGTATACCTCTGTTAGAATGTGGCCATAAAAATTTAAGTAAACAAGAAAACCAGGCATAAGATAAGGTCAGAATAGAAACACTTTCCTGGTATCCATACTTTTTGCTTTGGATTATTCAACCCTTTAGATAAAGGAAACAAATTATACCTGTGTGAACTCAGCCTTACAAAGTGTTCCATAATGAAACCATATTAACAGACTTGTAAAAGAAAAATCCCATTCAAAGAACAGACACTTGTAATTTTTACTCCTCCTCATCAGACTCGTCAGCACATAACATGGATTGGCTTATTGATTCCAGCCATAAAAAAGATTAACGGCTGTGCCAGTTTCGGGTCACTTCAGTCTACTGAAAAGGACTCTGACTCCTCACCGAAACTTTCAAGCTATTCTGACTAAGTGCTAAGCACATGCCGGAAAGGTTAATATTCCCATCCTGTGAAGATCAGTGAAGTTAAGGAATGTACTAGAATGTGGTTCTCCAGCCTGACCAAATATCTTTATGGATACTACTTGGTTCTCTAAAAGGTCTGTGACCATCGTTGAAAATGCTCCGCATTCACATTTTCCATGTTGGCACTCATTCCGCACTCAAAAGAAAATATAAAGTCCCTGAATTCCATGCATAAGTCATTATAGTGTGGGAGGCTACGGAAAGTGGAAAAAACGCAGAGACGCAGGTCAGGAAATTTTCGCTTTCATGGGCAAGTTTGGGTTGTAATAGGGAGGTTCTGTTTTAGATGCTTTCCTTTCTTTATTTTTATCCGGTGTAGAAAGAGAAGGCTAACTGAAGAAATGCCAAGTGGCATTACCATGTCATTCCTAACCCACATTTACATTTAAGCTGAGACTGAATTCTGGTTTCTTTTCTTTTACTAAGGAGACATAGAATTTTATTAACCCCTTGGGAAACAGATTACATTAAATTTACCTTTAAGACCTAACCATAATATTAATTAACTTATTTCACTTAACCTTGACAAGTAGGTAAGTATTTTTATCCCACCAAAGGAAGACAGTTCAACAAGTTCTGAGACAATCTGGCTACAAAAAGAGATTATAAATTAGGTATATACAACACAATATTAACTCTGCTAATTTCTAAGCCAGGTTTTTCGGTTGTTTCCAAATTATTCCTGTGACTGTGTAGAATCTTTCCTTTGAAGACAAATGTCCTAATTATCATTATGACCATCATTACCACATTTTGGAGTGCTCATTCTACAATATCTTGGGGTCTGACATATTTTTAAAAAATTATCCCTACACGCTTTCTTATTTACACTTCCTACTTAAATTCTGTTTTTAAATATTTATAGTTAAAATCTGCCTCCATGATTTAAAGGCTAAACAGAATATTAATAAAAAAGATGTGGATTGATTGTTTTCAATCACATCTGAGAATATTGGCCTTATTTTCTAAATCATCTGAATTGATTATAATCCATCCTATAAGTAGGATTGTGAACTCTTTGTAAAAGTCCTGACTTTCTCTGTGAACCATCTCACCAGGCTGCCTTATTTAAAATTATATTTCTAACTACTGACTACTTATTATGTACATTTCTATTCCTTTTCTTTGGTAATCCTTTTTATGCAATTTCATTCAGAATGATCTCAGCTGTTGAGGATTTGAATGAAGAATCTGGAAAAGTATAGGTCATTCCAGGGTGGTGATTTCATGAAGTGAATTTCCATGGGGATTTTTCACTTCTTAAATGTATGTGTTCAAACACCACTGTATTAATGTTACAAGCGACGGTGTGTACCTCTAATTATGTAAGATTTCTGAAAAACATTTGTAAAATGTCTAAATTTGCTTTTTGTAATATTAGTGCATAGGAGGTTGAGACACAAGGTGATTTCAAATGTACCATTTGGGTTGTAACACTTAACACTTCATAAAATAAACATTGAGTGGCATATAGTGTATATATCTTAAATGAAGAATAATTGTACTAAAAACAACAATACACTAATACGTTTACCGAGAATTGCCGACATACATCGGATATCCAATGATCATGCCCTCCGTTGAACTTGCTGTGGAAATAAACACAGACCTTACACTGTGGCCTGGCAACTGCCCCAAGGAAGAGGATCCTGATGATAATCACTCCTGCGGACTCTAGAGCCTGGGAGAACACAGTGCCTGGGAGCGACCTGCGGCTGAAATCAAGCTGGCGGTCCTGCAGAGCTGACGCAATGCCGACCAGCATCATTCACTCGGCGAGTGTTTCTTCAGTGCCCGATGGGCCACAGACACTGCTAGACATTGGGAATATGAACCTAAATGATATATTCTACCTTTCCTAAAGAAGCTTACAATTTTATGGGAGAAACTCATGTAAACAAGGATACTAAGTCCTTGCATGGCCACAAATACCGCGGAAAATTTAACACAAAGGGGAGGGGTCATCATTTCTCCCTCCCTCTTTCCTTCCCTCCTTCCTTTCTGTTGGCTTCATTTTCTAAATCATCTGAATTGATTAGAATCCATCCTGCAAGACCGTGAAGTCTTTGTAAAAGCCTCTCCCTGCCTTCCTCCTTTCCAGTAGTGTTGGGGGTGGTGCAAATGCTTGATAGGGTTTCCAGCAAAGTGGCCCCTGAGTGAGGCCCTCTGTGGACAGTCTCCTGCCTCTGATGCATCCAGGTAAAATGGGAGTTGAGATAGACTTCTTATTCTATGTGGGAAGTCTTTCTTTCTTTCTGGCTTCAGATTTTTACTATTCTAGAATCACCTCTTTGGGAAAGAGAGCAGAGGCAACAATAAGCTCTAGAGAATTACTTAACAACTCAAAAACTCATGGATCACATAATAGAAGCACATTTCTATGGAGCATTTCAGGGAAAATTAATAGGAGACATTTTTCAAAGGAAAAAAATAGACAATTTCCCAGAATCAATGACCTAAGTTTTCAGATCAAAGAGACCCCATGAAGTATGCTCTAATAAAAAGAATAAAAATAGACCACAGCAACAATCAATATTGTGTAATTTCAGAAATTTAGAGGTAAACAATGGTCATAAGCATGATCAGAAAGAGAAAAAAGAGATTATATAGCAGGTATCTGGAATTAGAACGGTATTAGATTTCTCAATACTAGAAATAAGACAGGTAAATACACCTTCAAAAGCTTGGTGGGAAATTATTTCTTCCTTGAAATTATATGAGAAGCCTTAAATCTTTTCTCCCTCTCCTCAAGAAACTACTGGAGGAATAGTCCCACCCAAATGAGAGAATAAAAAATGTGGAAAGGACGTGGAAACATGGAAGCCAGGAATTCAACACAATGGCCAGGAAATCAATTTCCAGGATGAAATTTATGTAGTAGGTCTAGTGGAAAATCATTTCACATAAATTCTAATGTGCTCTATGAGAGATGTCTCTAAGGGGGGAAAACCCCAGGAAATAATAGATTATATGATACATGTGACCCTATTGAGAGGAATTTTATATTAAAGCCATACAATTTAAGAAAGAATTATTGATAATTACATAGAGACTTAAGGAAATTGTTTAATGCCAGGAAAAACAGAAAGTTTTAAAAGAAAGGAAATACAACCATAGTATACTACCTGGCTTAGCTGTGAAATTTTTCAGTAACCAAAACAATGCAAGTAGTAAACACTGACTTAATAAAGATTATAGAACCACTGTTTTCAGAGCATAAGGTTTTAGGGGGTATGTGGGTAGGGAGGGCAGGCAGAGTAGTTTCAGAGAGCTAATGTTAACCTATTATGTTTAAAATGGAAAAAATAATATAATCACATTGTTTAGAAGTATGGAATTAAATACCAGGAGAAATAGTTAAGAACAATTTTAAGTGTTATGATTTTGTGTCACTTGCTTAAGATAGGAAAAAAGTATCTTATTTATGAATCTCAGAAAGCACGTTAAGTAATAATCTAAATTTTAATATGTTCCAGAGCAGTCATTTTTAAGATTGAGTTGATGCATCAATACAGATGCGGGCAAAAGAGGATTTACAGCTGTGAGTATGCAAAACA